GAGAAAGGTGACCGGAGCGCTGGAGTTTCCAAAAATAGCCATGTAGAGAGTTGTCGGATAACAACTGCTCACAGTCCGTTATAAGTTGCATAAACACCACTGCTCAATCCAACGGGAGGAGCACGGCAGAGACAAAAACAAAGAGCTGATGTCGAGGGCCGAAAATGCCAATCACGCGGGCATCGTTTTCATCGACGACAAAATTTCTCACATGGAGCAGAGCTACAATCTTCAAATTCCGGGGATGAACGCACGAGGTCTTAGGGAAGTCAGTGAGAGTGGAAGGAATATTTGCTACAAGCAGCAGCCGAACCTTATCATGGTCTGGACGGGGTCTCAACTACCGGTCGCTCACCATCACTGCCTGTTTACAAAGGAATACAACTTGATACTAGACCGAGCCAAGGGACATTTCGGTGCACCATCTGTTACTGAGGTATCTAGCCACTTTGAGGAGGGGTGATGATCTTCAGGAGCGCTGTTGAGGCACTCTCTCCGATTTCACATCCTCGAACGAATGGCTCTCCTATCCCTTGATTCCAGCGTGCTGGACCATCCTATGGGCTATGTTAGGGGCAGAGCCTGCACTAAACATTGCATCACACGGATGAGCCGGAGCCTTTTCTCTGCAAAGTTTCGAAGAGAACACCCCAGGATGCCATGCGGGCCACAGTAGAGTTGCGTTTGAAGCAATTGGGAGCCATACTCACAACAACAAGGGAGCATATCCGATGGGTATCATTCCTTCAAATATGTAAATGTATTGGCAAAATTTCTGTAAAACTTCTTGAATATACATACATTTTGAAAGAAGTTATTAGGTTGGAAAGAAAGTCTTGCAACACTTCGAACAATTTTTTGGATCACACATTCCTTTATTGGGAGCAAATATTAATCAACAATATAATCACCGTTATTATCAAGGACACGTCCCCATCTTTCGGGCAGCTTCTCGATCCCTCTCTTCCAGAATTCCAATGGCTGTGATGAGAAGAAGTGGCCGATCTCGTTTTCGAGTTGACGTCGATCATCAAATTTTTTGTCCTTCAGATGATGCTTCAATGCTCTGAATAGATAGTAGTCAGAAGGTGCTAGGTCTGGTGAATAAGCTGGATGCGGCAGTACTTCCCAACCGAGCTCCGTAATCTTTTGACGCGTCTTCGTTGCCACATGAGGGCGGGCGTTATCATGAAGTAGAAATACATTTTGCCTTTTTGGTCGTGTTTCTCGCATGACGTCGGCCAGCTTCTGGAGTTGATTAGAGTACATCGTGGCCGTCACCATGGTGCCAGTGTTGAGTAGCTCCCAAAAGAGCATTCCTCTGCAATCCCACCAACAACACAGTAAAACCTTCTTCTCGTGAAGACCTGCTTTCGCCTCCACAGACGGCTTTTCTCCTGGGGCAGTCCAGTGGCGCTTACGTGTATGATTCACATAAAGCACCCAGCTCTCGTCTCCAGTCACTATATCTTCCAAAAAGTCCTTCCGATGCGGACGAAGCAGGAGAGACTCAGCGACCATGATTCGGTTGCTCTTGTCGGACTGGCTCAGTTCATGTGGTACCCATCGCGAGAAAATATCACGATAACCGATATCATGAAGATTCTTGAGAACCGTTGTATGGGTGCACCCCAACGTTGTTGCCAACTCACGGCTTGTTGCATTCGGCTGCGACTTCAAAGCGTTGAGTAAGAGCTCCTCATTCCATCCGGATGGCCGACCAGGACGCTGCTTATCTTCGAACGAAATATCTCCAGCTGCGAACCGCCTATACCAACGAGACACTGTGGAATAGTGAATGACATCCTTCTTGAATGCAGTAGAATGTTAGCCGCAGCGGCTCTAGCAGAGTGGCCCTGCACGAACTCGTAATAGACAATATGTCGAAGAATGGCTGGATCCATTTATGACTTAACTGGATCAAAACGTCGCGCGAGGCCCCTATTCACCCGATTTCGAAATCCTCAGGAAACACTCTACAATAATCAGGCGCCAAAACATTTGAAAAGTATTTGGACCTCTTCGTAAAAAAGGTTGTTCAAAGTGTTGCAGGACTTTCTTTCCAACCTAATACAAGTAAAGAAAAGTGGTGCAATAATTATGGGACACCCTGTAATATCTACATTCAGAATCGTAGTCCTATTTGAATTTGCGACAATTTTTTGATATTTTAAGCTGATTAACCAGTGCCAGTTCTGCAATGCCCGCTATCGCGCGCATGTTGAAATAGGTTTCAGTGAAGCTCAGTATATCTGGGTCACTGTATTGAATTACATACTACTTAAGGTATTAAGGTCCCCGATGAAAATCCGTCATTTTTCTGAAAATAAGAAAGTCTAGGAGCCGAATGAGCGTTGAATAACTGATATAATTACTCAATCGGATGGATATATGACAAAGCTTTTCGACAACCTGTCGGCGAAATGTTTGGAAAAGGTCATGAACAACTAATGGGTACGTCATCGATTAGCCAAAGCGATAATTAATTCTAGCTCCGTCCTGAGTTAGGACAGAGTGAGAGCTAGTTGTCGGTTTGGCTGATTTTCGCCGGCTGGACCTCGAACTTTGGCTAAAATTTGGATACCCTGCAATGAATATAAAACAAGACATAATCGTAGAGCAGACAACTCTCTTGACCGGCAAATGATTGTTTTAACACGTTGACGACAGCGTGACGCGGTAACGCGTCCCACTTTGCGCACCTCGTGGGACATTGTGACGCGGTAACGCGTCCCACCCAAGTCATCCCTTTTTCTTGCGCTTGTGCGACTTATTCCTAAGGTCTTTGTACTCATTCTATAGGTCATACATTAGCATACTTAAAAACCACATGGCTCACAGAAAGGCCAAATATTCTTTAGTTTGGCAGAGGTTTTCCTACGGATATGTCTGTTCGATTCATTCCTCGTTTTCTTTTCAATTAACGTGAACATGTTGATAAAAAGGTGTGATATGGGCAAGCATACCTTAAATAATGTATCATATAATAACAACCACGTTCAAATCAAACTGGAACCACTTATGGAAATCGGATGAGTTTCCCTTTTATGCCATAACACGTCAAAACTCTAATAACTTTACTCTGTATAAGCGAGACAGAACAACATCATGGGAAAAAATTCATTCCATCTATGCGAATATACAACTAAAATCCTTGGATTTGTGTGCAGCGGCGCGCTCCAAAATAGCTATTCCGCGTGCAAAAGCACAAACGCGCGATGTCGCAACTGTGCATTTGAGACTTGGGATAAAAGAAAATTCTCTGGAAAAAAAAACGACCTCCTTATGGGCAACCATCATTATTTCGATATATGATTGCATAAGTTTCATACCTGAAATATTCCCCGTTGTGAAGACGTCCTCAGGTGTACAATTGCTATTTGGAGAAATCTGCTGGAACGAGTCTCGAATAGAAATTCCACGAAATGTTGCTGCTATGCACCGACGCTTGAGAGGTGACGATGTCCTCGTGGGTGTCCATATTTTTGACAACATTCGTCGGTTCCGTTCAGTATTTTACGTGATTGACGAGATGATGGAGCGATCAAGAAAGGCAATGGAGTTTTTCTAGAGCAATATTCCTTAGTTCGTACGGTATTGATATCGTTGTATTGATATGTGATATTTTTGTACGAATCGTTTATATTATAATTCGCTCAAGAATTTTTCAGTTTACGCACCCAACTTCAACCTACATGGGATGTGCTTTTAGGATTACCGTGAAGACAAACAAGCATAAACAGTATAATCTCAGAGTGCTCTGTTTATACTCAGGGTTCGTACTTGTGCATGGAAAAGAATTTGTTTGAAAGATTCTGTTTCAGACCAATATTCATGATGCACCATCCAAGCCTAGAAAAGCCTTGCATAGATGACAGAGATTGTGATCGGTTTTGGCCCGGTCAGTACCGCTGTATGTTCTCTTACGGTCTTTGTTATACCAAATACTTTGATTCCATTTATTGGATAGTTGGTCAATCTTGAAATTTGCCTGAACCTCTCTTGGAGAACATTTTCATAAGCGCTTTTGAACTGCATTCTTTTTTGCCTTGCCCTCGTATTCTTCTTAATCAGTGTCATTGTAAAAACTCTCTGCAACATATTTATTGGATCCATGAAAGTGTTCGTTGCACAGAATAAAGCTCATATTCATCCAACAGAATACTTGGGAAATTTCGCTGCTCTGGTAAGCCATCTTGCATCAGCGCGAAGATCAGACCAACTTCAAGGTTTAAAAACTTTCAGGGGCATTTCACATCTTTGGCTACTTCATGGTGATTGAATGAGTTCTCGTTTTGGTAAGATTCATATATGTTGAGGATAAAAGCAGAGGAGTGCTTTCGGCATGAGAAATCCATTTTGGAGAGAGCCACGCATTCTGCTTATAATATCTACATTCAAAACCGTAGTCCTATTTGAATTTGCGACAATTTTTTGATATTTTAAGCTGATTAACCAGTGCCAGTTCTGCAATGCCCGCTATCGCGCGCATATTGAAATAGGCTTCAGTGAGCCGGGCTACTGTATTAACATACTACTTCAAATGGATTTGACTGATGACTGATTGTGTTAAGGTCAGATGATAAAGCAGAATTTATCATAGCTCGTCAATTCCAATAAACATTCGTCATTTTTCTGAAAATAAGAAAGTCTAGCAGCCGAATGATACACAATAACTGATACCATACTTAAAGGAATCCTTCACGAAAAAATCATGATTTT